GGTATAGATGGCCCATTTATAGATGGTTTACCTATTAAAAATGGTGATTTTCCATGGCTATGTTAAATAACCAGATGGTCCATGTTGATAAATCTTCCGGCACCATGGAGCATACATATGGGATGAAAACTAACCTCGTTTAACACCTCAAAAAATGAGGAATATATTTATATGAAAATGCTTGGTGAATGGGATGGTTTACGAGATGAAGTTTACCACATGACTGGCCTTTCATTTCATCATGATTCACAACCTCAAGATACCTTTTTTCTTGCGGCCAGCTATGGGGATGATTCCCCCAGAAACTTTCACCACCGGCGTGACGGTGTTGACGACCTCAGGTCAGTATAATTCATAAAGGAAATCATGGGAGTACAGAAATTCCAGCTGTTTATTTACCCATAGAAATTGGGATTTAACTTGACCAATGAAAATATGGTGATTCAAGATAGAAATTTCCCATGCGAGGAAAAAAACACGGTTGAATCAAGTGAATCATTCTGAACATTGGCATTGTCTAGATTCAGGGAATTGGTAGGGAGTAAACTCTGTAGTTGTGCAAGCAATTTTGGAAGAAATCTGGAAAGATAGCCCACCATGGTATAATAAAAAATCACCCCGTTACAAGGTCCTAAGGTCCCAATATGTCCCAATGTCAAAAAAAACCTCCAACATAACTATGGAAAATCACCATGTTTTCTGGTAAATCATCGAACTAGATGGCCATTTTATCCATAGCAACCTGTGAAAAATGACCGGAGGGTATACGCCTCATGAAGGGAAAACGATTTCCATGGGGATACCATAGACTTCTGGTGAGATCCATCTCGAATTCGAACATGCTGATGAATAAAAGTCAACCAAACAATTTGGATGATACTCCCGAACTAGTTACCCCCCCAAAAAATGGGATGTGCTTTCAGTCAATTTCTTTAGAAAAAACGAAACACTTTCTTGAGAACAACACAGTGAGTAGTTCTCCATTACCAATTTGTTTGATCCAAGCACGTACCCTCTGGTAAACTAACATAACTATGGAAAATCACCATTTTTATGGATAAATCCACTATATATTTCTATGGCCATGTTCAAGTTCGCAAACTGTTAGTCATTACCAGGCCGGGTATATCCCTGGCTTGTCTCAACTTTCCAACTCCACCATCCCCATTGACATAGCAATCTCCCATGTTTGATGGTGAACTCACCATTCGTACTCACCATTCGTTACATCTTTTCAACCCTCGTTGATGTTTAACTCATGTTGACTCCCAATGTAAAAACCATGTTTGATGTCAAAATCCATGGTCAATCTTTGATAGTCCAAAAAAAATAATCTGCTGTTCTGGTGATATTTTCATATATGTTCCATTTGTAGGGACAACCAAAGGATATGTCACTAGCCATCCAGTTGGGGATGGGTCAAAACCCTGGTACCTAGTGAACCCCAAAATAGCTGGTAAATGGATGTTCATCCCACTAAAAATGTATCTATAGGTATTGACCCATACCCAGTTAAGTCACTGAATCTCCTGTCGACCATCCGTCCACCGCAACCGCAGGCCTCTTTCGCAGTGGTCTGAGCGAAGGGATCCCAGGCGGTTCGTTCCTGCGGCAGGAACGAAGCATCCTTTGGTGAAACATGTGGTGCCTAACAGTGCTTAACTATGAAACAAAAAACAAGTTGATCCATAGACTAGATGATGATAGATGATGATAGATGATGATAGATGATGATAGATGACGATAGATGATGATAGATGATGATAGATGATGATAGATGATGGCAAGTGATGGAGAGAATTTGCTAAGTTGGTTTACAACTCCACTGTTGGGTTTATTCCAGATTCATATCGAAGTAGTGAGTTGGGGGTGCGTTTGTATAAAGCAACACACAGCTTTTCCCCACCTTGTGAAGTACAGAAGTTCCAAGATTCAGGAGCATCCCAGGACCTGATAACTTCATTACATCCTGGTTGAACTATAGATACCCTCTGGTAAACTAACATTGCTATTGAAAATCACCATAGAAAAAGTGGATTTACCATGATTTACCCATTAAAAATGGTGATTTTCCATAGTTACGTTAGTTTACCAGAGGGTAACTATAGCAGTTCCCTCACCTGGAAATGGCCAGCTGGAAATGTGGATGATTCCCGGAATCCGCATCGAATCTTACGGAATTTTCGACCTGAGGTCACGATCAAATTCATCCAGAACATATCATATTAAATTGCTGATTACTTATCAACAGTGATCAATTATTCCATATTATTCCATATATTGGGCAGTATGTTGAAGCCCCTACAATCATCAACCAACAGTTTGAAACATCTGGTTGCTGAGATAAACCCCTGACTCAGTTATCGGGTTGGGTTGACCCCCATTTAGCTCCAGGCTTTCGATTGAACATGATAAATTATGGCTACTGTTCCGACATATAACACATGTTTATAATTGTTTCTGAAAATGGTGGGATTAGCCCGCAAAATGACAATCTTAAAGGGGAAAATGATGAGTAACCATCAAGTTTGAGGGATTTTAAGGCCCAAATGTTCCGATCCCACTCAATCGTACCTGGCACGTAACCCAAGTACAGTAATGTGGTAAACCCTATAATTAATAAATCATCCCATTAACCAACCATTTGAGGGTGGTTTTACATCATCCCATCCAATCATAAACCTCTATTGGGGATGGGTTTACCACATTAATTACTACTCATGTGCCGGGGTTGGGATGCTTTATGATTGAGTTTGTCACATGACAATTACTACTCATCTACCAGGTTTTTTTTTCGCAACCAGGACCCAACAGACCCGGCACCCTGAACCATGGGAGATTAGGACCCTTCCCTTGAGTTCATGGGCAACATGCAAGTCCAGTATGGGATCATCAGCCCACCAGCCAATCCCAGCGCCAAAAGAGTTACACAATGGCGCTGCTCCATGGTCTAGACCTAAACCAAGCGAGTTTAATTCAGGAATCTTGGCATCCCAGTCCCAGTCGTAAAAACCCTCGTCCTCCATGGCGACATTGCAGGGCTGAGACGCGACAACCGCTTTGGATCAGGAGTGTCTGAATCTGTGCTGGTCATCATTGGAATTCTCAAAACAGCCGCCATATTACGATGGCAAAATAGGGGATTCAAACATCTTTGGGACGACAATACTTAGGGGTGCTGAGATGATCGATGGGAGATGGGATTGGCTAGGCTTCAATTTGTACCCCAGGGTCCATGTGTACTGCAAAATAACAAGTTTTGTGAGTCCATGTTTACGCCAGATCCTGGGGCTCTATATATATATATATGTCATGTGTATATATATATATATATGCATAGAATTGGTGATATCAACGTCCAATAATTAGTCGTCCAATGATGTCTTTTGGAAAATCATGACATTTGCTTTGGTATGCTGCCATCATTCATCTGCCGTCTGCATCCGAGCTTGGAATGGTTTCGATACACCGGTAGACCTCCATTGAGTTCCCGGTAGCTCCATGGCTGGTTCCAGAATTTTCCAGCCACGATAACACCAGATACCCGGCCTGGTAAACCTACGTGCAAAACTATGGAAAGATCCACCATTATGCATGGGAAAACTCACTAATTATAAATGGCCATGTTCAATAGCTATGTTTGTTTACCAGAGGGTATCTTCTGCATCACTGTTGGTGAGGACCAGATGCGAGTAACCGTGGCTGCTCATCTGTCTATTTTGCTCCAGCGAAGCAGCAAATGCACGCGGCGTTGGAGGTATCCCTGCCTAAGGTTGCAATGCTGTGTGCGACTCAGTCATCAACATGGGTGTGTCTGAAAATGGGGATGCCAATCTACCAATCTATAGTTTTAATGGGGAATCTATAGTTTCAATGGGGAATCTATAGTTTTAATGGGAAAAAATATGGAAAAATCATGTTCCAAATTGGGTCCATGTCACCATGTTCAGAGAAACCCAGATGGCATTGATGGAGAAGCCAGTTCTTAGCCTTGAGTCATAGCATGCGTCATGTGTTCATCAGAAACTCGGAAAATCCGCCGGGATGTTCATCAGAACCAGGAATATACAAGGTGGTGCCCCCCAGTGATGTTAGTTGGTTTATAAACCCCATGAATACTATAGATATATCTACCATAAACCATAGTGAAATTGGAGTTATGTTTACCAACTTAGCTAACTATGGGGCACCACCTTGTACCAATTACAAACAACATGTGTTGTTGGATCCGGCACGCAAAACTGACATGTTGGGGGATGCTTGGGACGTGTCATGATAGACATGATCTGTTTCTTCAGTGTCTTGGAGGATTGAGGCGACCTTGGCCGGAATTAGAAAACAACAGCAGGTAGGGATAGGATCTACAGACGCGCTACTGCCTGCAATGAATACCTCATGCTAATGCTGGAAATTGTGAAAGTCAAGTGATTCTTCCAAGCCCATCTTACTATGATTCTGGAAGTAAAAACCAAATGCTTGAGGACAATGTCCCAAAGTGAGGGAGGGGCTTCTGCTCCGCTACATGTGAAAGTCAACCAAAATCATTTTTCGAATTTCAGAGGGATGAAAACAAGTGGTGACGTTTGCATATTATCACGACAAGGTGAAGCCCGGTAGCTAAGTTGACTTATAACTTGGTGATTTCTATGGTGGATTAGGGGAATATAACTAACTTCATATGCTTTGTAAACCAACATGGTGATTTCTATGGTGGATTAGGGGAATATAACTAACTTCATATGCTTTGTAAACCAACAAACCTAGGGGGGCCTCACCTTACTATTCTCCGGGATTTTGTCAAGTCACCATAGGTTACAAAGTCATGGTCATCCATGACGACTGTATGATTTGGGGATTACCCTCTGGTAAACTCACAACGAACTCAAAGGACCTTCAAGTTCGCAAACGGTGAGTCATTACCAGAGGGTAAGTGGATATTGAAACATAGATATTCTGGTTATATCATGTTAGATCCAAACTTATGCCATAACTTATGGGGCTTACGGTGAAAACCATGAACAACCAGAGGGTAAAACCCTGGGTTCCAGACATCCAAGACACGTCCAGGACGCATCGGGGAGCCACTCTGGCGTCGAATCACTTTCGTCCCGCCAGAACACGGCCCGATTCTCCGCATAACCTTGGAAAACGCAGTAGAAAGCTGTGGATTTTGAGGTTAGGAAATAGGATTAACAGCTATAGTAATTAATTATCCCTTAACAGCTAGTAATTATCCCAACAATGCTAGTTTTCATGGTAGTTTGAGATGGTTTTATGTGGTCAATTAAGGATAATAATATAATAATGGGATAATAGCAGAGTTCTCCTCCAGCAAACATGGTTTGCTGGAAAACACCCTGGCAGTTCGAGGATTTTCCCAGCTAGTATCACCACCACTTAGGCACCAATGATGGTTGACCCAAACAAAATGTCAACACGTTTCAAAACGTGATGCTCAACAGGCTGAACCCCCAAATATTCTACATCCATGTACCCTCTGGTTATTTAACATAGCCATGGAACATCACCATTTTTAATAGGTAAACCATCTATAAATGGGCCATTTTCCATGGCTATGTTAAATAACCAGATGGTACATCCCTAGTTGAATGCTAAATGCAACAAGCAAACCAACATCTTCCGGAACACAGCCCCAAATTCTACCAGGCGCCCCCCCCCCTTGTGAGTCTCGCAGCTGACAGTTGCTTTTGACCCTGGGAAGTACAGCGCCGGCGACTTTTCCGAGGGAACCAACCATAGTAGCATAGTTACCTGATGCTGGGCAACCAAGATCAGACCAAACGACGAAATCCCCCACACCACTTGGTGAATTCGTTTGGATTGAGGGATTTAGAGCTGTCCTTAGTGGCTCTAACCAACATCACTGGGGGACCGGGGGACCTCATCTTGTAGGACCCTGGTATAGATAAAGAGATAGAGCAACAGGAGCTGAGATTCTTGCACCTCCTTGTAGCCTCGCACGCTTTTCCAAAAATAAACTCTGCTCAAATGATAATATGAATAGGGAAAATAGTGATTAACCATCAAATTTAGGATTGTATCCCATTATAGTCCAGTCATATCCCAATATGTTACCAATGTTTGATGATTAAAACATGTGAAAAACCAATGTTTCATTGTAAAAGTCAAGTTTTTCGTGGTAAATTCTCAGTTTGTTCCTAAAATCCCAGCGTTTGATGGTTAAAGTGCTAGTTTTTTCATGGTAAAACACCAACGCCACCGCCCAACTCGCACCTCTGCCCCGGACGCCAGGAACGCTCTACGCGCTCTGCCCTCACCCAGCGCTTTGGCGACCGCGACGTCGCAGAAGTCGCCCAGCATCGGCAAGACCTGGGACCCCCACTTCAAGGAATAGATTATTTGGATATATATATATGTATAATATATATATATGTATAAAATATACATATGTATAATATATATATGTATAATATATATATATATGTACAATATATATATATATTTGTGTATTAAAAAATATCTATATATGTATAATATATAAATATATATACGTATATGCTATGTGTATATACATATGTATATATATATATGTAAATAATAAATATATATATATATATATCTAAATAATATATATATATATATTTGTATAGTATATATGTATGCATATGTATATATATATATACATATATATATATGTATATATATGTATACATATAGATGTATATATATTATGTATGTATAATATATATATATTATATATATATATGATATATATATATATATGTATATTATATATGTATAATATATATATATATATGTATAATATATATATATATGTATATTATATATATATGTATACTATATATGTATATTATATATATATATATATGTATATTATATATATATATATGTATATTATACATATTAATCAACTATCATCTATATAATGATATATCTATCTGTATACTTATTATATCTATGTAATCTTATCTCTCTATTTTATATTCTCCTCTTTATATTATGTATATATATATGTATATTTTATATGTATATATATATATCTTTATATATATATTTGTATATTATATATATATGGTAAACCCAAAGCCATAAACCCAAACATTTCGATACATGTCCAAGGTGGTAAAGATCATCTAAGAAGGCGGCATTGGGTTTATCATGGTTTATCACATTGAAGGAGATTTTCATGAGGGATTAATAGAAGGTGGTGCCCCTCCAGTGATGTTTGTTGGTTTATAACCTCCATGAAGTATAGGTATATTATATCTACCATAAACCCAAGTGAAATTGGAGTTACCCTCTGGTAAACTAACATAACTTAACTATGGAAAGACCCACCGTTTTTTATTGGAAAATCAAATATAAATGGCCATGTTCAATAGCAAACTGTTAGTTTACCGGAAGGTAAATCCCATAAAAATCCCATTAAATCCCGTCAAAATGCCATGAAATCCCATTAAAAACCAACTTTTCTATCATTAAAACCCCAACTTTTCGCGATTCCGAACTTGGGCACCACCAACCGTGACAGCCTGTAGACGCACGCCCCACCTGTTCCAGCTGCCGCACCAGGTCTCGTAGCAGCTGATGGTCCTCCATGAAGGCCAGGTTGGCCAAGAGGAAGGCACCACTGGGATCCAGCTGGTGGTACCTGTTGCACCGCTATAGGCATGGTGATTCTTGACATATCCGCAATGAACCATAGTAAGACAAAGATATAATATGATCAATGGTGTATATATATATATGTATATATATAGAGAGAGAGAGAGCGGGTAGTTAGGGGGGTGGGTTTTTGAAAGTTGTGATTTTGCAATGTTTTGGCCTTTGCAGAGAACATGTCATTGAAATGATGAGAATGTGCATTCACTGCTTGATGTGAAGAGAGCTAATATACATATATATATATATACATAAGCTAGTACAAACTTGGCTCTTTTACTGATATTTGCTTTGATTTTTTGATTGGTATTGTGGATGAGATCTATTGGTATTCCAAAAAGGGAGCGCCAATGACACAGATTTTGAATAGATCTTAAGGTGCCATGCATATAAAAAGATACAGTAAGTAGATCTTGAAACCTCCCAAGGTTTTCTTGAATATATGTAATTAGATTGCCACAAATAATTTGAATGAACAATGTCTTAATACAACATATAAAGAAAAATAGAATTGGCATTCACCTTTCAAAGAATTGAAATGAAATAAGAAAAATAAGCTTACCTACTACAAATATTTCATGGAACTCTTGGATTGAAGTAGAATTGAGGTAGAATATGCCCACAAACTCTGAGAAAAAAATGACATCAAGTGGTGTGACTCTTAGGTATAAAGTCTTTTACACAGAAAAATCAGTTAAAATTGCCAGGGAATCTTGTATGTTGTGCCTTATTTTTCCTGAGAATTTTGCTGGAAAATGAGGTTTAAGCAGAAATTACAAATAAGCTTGTATTTTATCCAAAAATTCAAAGAGATCTTTCGTTTTTTCACCTTCATTCATTTCATTTCTCGTTTATATAAATTACATACCCCCCAAGGGGTGCATGTAACAAATACTTGAAGTAATCTTGCATTTTGATATAAAGAAAACCCAAACAAAAACATGCTGTACTTTGGTATTGAAACTGAAACTGGCACCCCTAAGTCAAAGTATATTTTTTGCAAGATACTACATTTCCCAATTGAATCAATCCTCTTGAAAAAGGCATACATGTTTCAAAAGGATTGCTGCAACACTTCAAGGAACAATCTGGATTGTAATGAAGAAATGCTTTCAAACAAAGTTATATACATTTCCCAAAAAGGAATTGTATCTTATTTCAGACAATAATGCATGTCCCAATTGAAGTAAGCATCTTGAAAAAGGCATGTATTTTTCAAAAGATCAAAAAATAATGCTGCAACACTTCAAGGAGTAATGAAGAAGTTTCTACAAAAAAAATACATTGTTCTAAAATAATGTCCATCCTATGTCAAACAGTAGTGCATTGGCACTTTTGGCATGGAGCCTCATCTACAAATGCCTCCTGTCATCTAGCGAATACCTCCTGTTACCTGGCAAATCTCTATAAAACGCAAACCAAAAAAAAAACAAAAAAACAAAGAAAAAAACAAAAAACAATATTGCACCACATACTGACATACACATGGGCTCAGCGCGTTTTCCATTTAAATAAACAATGATGATAAGCAACCCTAATCATAATACCCTTGGGGCCCGGAAAACGCACCGAACGTATATATATATATATCTATATATTGATAATAGTAATGTAAATGGTCTCATATAGATTAGTACATCTGAGAAGCGTCACCCACGGCCACAAGTCTCCTTCTATGGCTATGGCTGTCAGAATCTATCGGATCACCAGGTTTACTGACAATTTAACCAGTGGAAAATCATCATTTCCAGTAGATCGAACCAAAAGCGCCATGTTCCATTGCTATGTTCACCACAGGGTGCCGCTGACATCTGGCTCCGAAGTTTTTTCATGGCTCAGTGAGCCTCATTTGTCCACCAGGATGAGCCAGAGGAAAGTGCTTCAACACAAGCACCGGAGTAGAACAAAGACGCTGCGGATGACAAAAAACAGCAGAATAGCATCCTAAAGCGTCCAATGAAATCACAAATGATTCCATCCCCATTTTTTTGCGTGTTGTCGACTTCTGATTGTGTAAATGGCAGTCATCACACTCGGACCCCTAGGGCCCTAGGGTCAGGGTTGTCTTTGCCGGCCCCACGACATCTATGAACTGTTGATTGGCAGCTGCGAGCTGGAACGCTTCTGTGCAGCTGCGCTGCAGGTGCAGTTGGCCCCATGAGTCGGGATCTAACATGGTAGCCTCTGGTAAACGTACAAAAAACGATGGAAAATCACCATGTTTAATGGGTAAATGAACTATTTCAATGGACCATGTTCAATAGCTATCTTAGTTTACCAGAGGGTAACCAGAATATCTATGGTTCTATATCCACTGATAGCACTGATAGCTGGAACTGCACCCCAAAGTATGCAAAATAGGCGAAAGAAGCCACTTTGCGCGGGCATGGACAAAATTTTGCCAAAGATGGCAGTGGTCGGATGGTCTCCATGGTCTGTGTGCATGTGAAGCATTACATTCCAGCTTCTGTGTGCATCTAGTAATATAGATAACAATGGTATGGTGTATCATAATGTATTATGATATATTATGATGTATTAATTTTGATGAATTGTGATGCATTATGATGTATATGATGTATTTTTGTGTATTATGATGTATTATGATGTGTTATGATGTATTCTCATGTAGTATTATGTATTATGATGCAGTACGATGTATTATGATGTATTATGATGTATTTAGGTGTATTATGATGTATTATGATGTGTTATGATGTATTCTCATGTAGTATTATGTATTATGATGCAGTACGATGTATTATGATGTATTATGATGAACTATGATGTATTATGATGTATTATGATGTATTATTTTCTTATAATGTATGCGATGAATTACGATGTATATATGTATATATACATATTATAAGTACTGTATATAATATTTATATATATGTACATATGCAATTTCTACTGCATATATCTATATATTAGTTTCATATATTTATATATAAATTACATATGTATTTATTCATTTACTCATTTAATTGTACTTAATTATTTAATGATATATTATATGTATGTGTACGCAGGGGTCCAGAACCATCCAGAACCCCGGGTACGAACCATCTTTTCACGACTGGTAAAACATGGGAAAACCATCCTGCAGCGCGTAAACTTTACATATTACATGCCCCGCTATAAAATTGTCGTTTGTAGCGATTTTGGCGCCGATTTGTAGCACGCATCAGAACGGTATTGAACGTGCTTTTTGTCCCTTCACTGTACAAGACTTGGGTATGAGTCAAAAATGACGGACACCAGAAAAGTGGCTGGCATAATATGCATCCAAAATGCCCAAAACATCCCCATCTCAGTCATCTTAGTCGCCTATCTCTTTGGGCGTCCATCCACTGACCCAGCATTTCCCAAGGGGAGGAAGAAGAACCTCCAGGGACAAGACATGGCTTGAACGGTTGAGCCTTTTGTTGCCTTCACACCTGCATGGTCTCCGTGGAGCCGCATGCAAGGCGCACTTCACGTCGTCGTTCCTTCGGGACCTTTCCCAAGAAATACCAGAAGGTCCCAGCAATCCTTGGCTCAAAAAATTCGTCTTTGGCGATGTTCTATGGTTAATCTATGGTTAATCTATGGTTAATCTATGGTTAATCAACCGTAAAAACCCAGCATTCCAAAAATGGACAAAACAACACGATGGATGATGGATGAGCATCTCCAAACGGAAACATACCGTCCATTTGTTGTGTTTCGCGAAAAGAAATATGGGCGCATCAAATAAATTGCATCATGATACTCCAACAAAACATATTGGTAAACTAACATAACTATGGAAAATCACCATTGTTCATGGGAAAATCCACGAACTAAATGGTGATTTTCCATAGTTATTGGTCAACAAAGAAAGGTTCGCACCCAGCTGGACCAATTGGAATGGCCCGTAAATCTTGGCGTGGCCCCGGATCGACTCCCGATGAGGAAATCCGTGCCGGGTTCCCCTTGTAACTGGGCAATTTTCCATAACTATGTTTTAAAGAAGCAAGAGGGTACATGTATTTAGGCATATTCACTATATATATACACATTATATTATATATACTATTATATATACTATTATATATATATACTATTATATATATATATTATATATATATATATGATTTATATATGCATGGCCTCCACCGCTCCTTTCACCGCTGCGAGTCTTGGTGATCCAACACTGCAAGAAAGCGAACAACATCGTCCAGAAATAGAGCGAATAGACGGCCTCGGTCTGGAGCAACAGATGGTGCGATTTGGGAATTTTCGAAACCACCTGAGCAATTTTTGATCTATGTTTAATATCTATCTATGTATTTGAAATAGCTATAATTTATTAATAATCATATCTGTTTGATATTTGTTTAATAATAATAATAACAGCTATCTATCTATTTCAATATATCAAAACCTGGTTGAAACATCTGTTTAAAAAATATACGTATCTATATATGTCAATATTATCTATCTACCCACCTACCTAGCTAGCTATCTATCTATCTATCTACCTAGCTAGCTAGCTATCTATCGATCTATCTATTTATCTATCTATCTATCTATCAATCAATCTATCATAGTTTAAACATATGTTTGAAAATCGGTCGAAATGGAGCAATCACGGAGCCCAACATAGAACTCCATGACAGGCGGGCAAAGTGGTCAGTAGGGATTTTGCCATATCGGATTCTGAGCATCCAGAAATCTCTGAGAATTTGAGAACTTGGGCCAGGGTAATGTAGATGTAATGCGGTAAACGTATAATGATAAAGCATAAATTATGATGGTTAATTATGATTGGATGGTTAATGAAATGTGGTTTAACTATCCAATGATAATAATTAATAATAATAATAATAGCTATCCAATTCTGATAGCTAATAGATTATATAACTCCAGAAATGTGTTGGATGGTTAATTTGTTAATGATAGTTATTATTATGGTTAAACCTTCCCTTAAAATCACCACTTAATTGGATTGCATGAACCATGAGTTTATGTTTCTTTTTGCACACCAAATAACAGTGCCAATCTGATTATCTTAGATACCCTCCAAAAATTAAATTCTTGGCTGGTGAACGTAGACAATCCCATATTGATACCAAAAAACTAAAGGACCAAAGTACCCATCTAAGGTTGACCTAGAAATGTGGATTGTTATTATGATTAAACTTGGTTAAATCACACAAAACATCAAACGATTCGAACATTGATCAATGAACTTCGCTGAGATTCCAGACCTTCATGGTGAACCAGCCCCAGCAATTCTATCAACCAACAGGGGGGTTGCACTTAAAAGCCGCAGCGAAAAACGACTCGACTCGTCTCGTTGCGAGTAGCGTAAGTGATCTGCAGCATGGCTTTCAGCAAGCACGACGCCACGAAGACGCCAACCAGGGACCTGGAGATAACTTTTTCTTTGGCGCATGGGTTTTCAAGGGGATACCCAATTTATATATATATAATATATGGCTGTATAATGCTGTATTAATATATCTTTACATGGGTTATATGTACCTTTAAATGCTAGTGTCCTGACATGCCCATTGATGTTTGTCGAGATCTTGTTTAATGGTCATGTGGGTATGAGCCAAAGTTGGGATGATGTGTGCTCTTCCCCTCGAACAGCCATGTGGGGACTGAGCTTGAACTATTGGATCTGAACTAGCTGATGTTTGATCCCTTTTTTCAGCATCTTCCCAGCGGTGTAAAACCCTGATGTTTGGCCCAACTGTTGGATTCTCCCATTTTTTGATTTGGGAGGAAATCCGCCCACGCTGGAGTGGAATTTATATATCCATGAAATTACTATAGATTAGTGATTAGAATATGATTGGAATTGGTACCCCCCTAGTAAAATTGGGTTCTAATCCCACTTCGCCACCAGTTCCTAACTATGTAAGTAGGCTGATCCAAGTGCAACCCATTTTTCCATATTTTTCTATGGGCATCATGGCCGCCCTGGGCCTCTTGAGTTTGGAGGCCCCCAGGTATCCGCAGGCCAGTAGCAGAAGCAGAAACAGCGACTGCCAGAGCTGGAGGCCCTTCGTCGAAGGCCAGGCGTAGAAGGTCAAGACACTCAGCAGGGTGGACAGCACGTCCAGCCACGCGAAGAAAAAGACGGCCATCTGGTAGTTCAACATCACCTGGGGTGCCCCCAGTCACAAGTTAACTTAATTAAAAGACACTTACCCTCTGGTAAACTAACATAACTATGGAAGATCACCAATTTTCAGAGGTAAATCAACTCTAAATGGGCCATTTTCAATAGTTGTGTCGGTCTACCGGAGGATAACCTAGAGAGATGTCCCATCAATCCGAAGCGGAGTCTTGGAATTTACAAATGTCCGGCAATTTACATGTTTATTGATCATCATGTTCACTAAAACCTGTTTTTTGTTGCAGGTCGTGTTTGCCATTATGTAGGGATGCAGGGATCTGATGCATTTTGGGGGGTTGGGGATGTTAGAGAAACGAAAGAGTTGGTTGTCTCAAAAATTTGGAACATCGTTGATCACTATCCGGCCATTTTGGGGGTTTCTTCTATGATGAGCTTGGTGATGTGGGTTCCAAAGCCACTTAAATGCCAACGGTGCTTCAAAAAAAAGCCTTGGGCACCTCTAGTTGAGAACTTGAGAATTTGGGCCAATAATTAAGGGTAATCTGGATGTAATGTGGTAAACTCATACTGAAAAACCATTCCCTAAAATCACCACTTAATTGGATTGCATGAAACATCGGTTCATGGATTTGTTTGACCAAATAAGAAGTATTCGGGCAATGGATCCTAACTTCAAGATGAGTCGTCAGCTTTGAGGGTAGATGCCAATGGAATAGACACTAAAGTATCCAGTGGGATGTCATCAGACCTGATCTTCCACCAGTATCACAACTTGGCCGCAAGTAGGGATACCTCTTTTCAGGCTGTTTCATGGGGAAAACGCTGTTAAACCTTCGGGTTCTAGGGGTAGATTCCTCAAAGATCCTCAAATTCAAAGCTCAAGAATTTCTATTTGAGCTTGAGAGAAAAAAGATGGCAGTGATGGCAGTGATGGCAAATCTTCGGATTTCGGGTAGTACCTCATGTTTCAAACAAAGCCATCTCCATCCTTTTCCCACCTGCTCATCTGTCTCCAGAGTTTCAGGTACCACAGGTACCACCCCACTGGACTTGGATGACTTGGGTTTCAGAGGATCTGGAACCACCGGAACCACCGGAACCGCGCGGCTTCCCTCCATGGTTTCCTCGGACATGGGAAGATCGCCTGTGGCCGAATCCTCTTGCGCCATCGGCTGCGGCTACCCCGGGCGTTTCGCGTTTGAGCCAACTGAGCCAAGATGATGGGCACTTGGGATCACTCGGAGTCGAGCTGCAGCGATCAATTGCAACACATCATCCAACCCGGCTAGAGTTCCAAGCATCTGCTTGGGGGTTCGAAATGAAAAGACAGAAGAATTCAATGATACCCTTCACCAAATGGAGAGCATCCTGGCACCAAAGGATGCGCCAGTGTGTCTGAAAAATGGAACGGAGCACAGATTTGGGCATGAGATGGCATGAGTCTTCAGGCCTTCAGGCTACTTTCATGTACTTTCTACCTTCACAGCCATAAAGCCTCGGATCTTTACATATCCACGGATAGATCCTTTGTTGCGCCCGGGGCACATGGTGCTTTGCTGCAGATTCTCCAACAATGTTGACCGCGCATCCTCAGACAGTACCTTGGACGACTCAAGATTCAAACGGTTGGTTACCCTCTGGTAATGACTAACATAGCTATTGAAAATGGCCCACTTATGCCCATTTAGTTCGCTGATTTACCTATGAAAGATGGTGATTTTCCAGTTCGCTATGTAAAACTTTACCAGAGGGTAACTTGCAGTTGTCATTCATGGTTCTTGGTCATCATGTTACCCTGGATTCCTGTTGCCCAAAGGGGATCCCTGGGCTCAACTAACATAGCGAAAACCCCTGGAAGTTGTCCACATCTATGTTCACTAAAGGGTACCCTCTGGTTATTTAACATAGCCATGGAAAACGGCCCATTTATAGATGGTTTACCTATTACAGTAAACATGAATAAAAATGGTGATTTTCCATGGCTATGTTAGTCATAACCAGAGGGTAAATCAGATGAAATCCACATGTTCTTCCGCTCCCCAAGCACTGGATTGGTTTTTCAAGGAAAATCTGAACTCCAGAAACCCAGGGCTTTTCCCTCTGCAATTGTTTTTGGGGGTTCTGCATGGCTGTTCCCTTGAACTAATCCAATGATAAGTTGCAATAATACTTACCCTCTGGTTATGACTAACATAGCCATGGAAAATCACTTATAAATGGAGGTTTCTAGCTGGGAAAATCATCTATAAATGGGAATTTTCCATGGCTATGTTAAATAACCAGAGGGTATATCAAACGTCTTAAAAGCGCCCCAGTCCTTAACGTCACATTTGATCCTTCGTGACATCCACTTGTTTAGTGGCTTCTAGTATCATCATTGTCATTATTGTTGGATACCGCCAATATTTAATCCCTATTGGAAACCCCATGATCATCGCCACTATTTAGTTCCAAAGGGTCTAAAATTTTTAGGTGTACGAATAAGTAATAAGCACCATTAAAGCTATATAGATATATCAATATCTGCCATAGAATCTTAGTTATCTAGTGCATTTAGTTCCTCGTACTGGAACTGCACCCTCAAGTATCATACTTGGGGGTGCATCCAGTTACAAGTGGATATATAAGCATAGCATACCATAGTTATAGGGTTTATATTCCAACTTATGGTGGTTTTGACGATAGTTATATACACCCCCAGTAAACTATAATGACTGTCACCTTTTTTCATAGGTAAATCATCAAAGTAAATGGGCCATCGATGCCATAGCGTTAGTTCGCCAAAGGGTATCAGCACGAACAACCCCAGCTATATTCATGCCTATATTCGTACTTATATTCCATTATATTCATACCTATATTTCATTATATTCATACCTATAGTGCCAATACCCCAGTTGTATTCCATTCTATCATAGTCTCAGCATCTCTCAGCTGCGACTGGCACCTTGGTACCTTGACATTTCCGACCCAGGACCCAGTGGACCCAGATCGTCCCGGAGGTCTCTTCAAATCACCATTGAAGTACATGGTTTACCTCCTACGTGGTTTTCCACATTCCAAAAAAAAATCGGGGATTCTACACATGTTTTTTTCAATCATGAAACCGAAGTACACTTACTTTACCCAAGAAATACCATTGGTTTTAGTATGTTTTACCCTCTGGTAAACTAACATAACTATGGAAAATCACCATTTTTAATGGGTAAATCCACTATACATGGCCATTTTCAATAGCTATGTTAAATAACCAGAGGGTAGGTGAAACCGCCACTTTTGACATCGCCGCGGCGCCCCATCTGCCACGGCATAGCCCCGCGCTGCCAAGTCCGAACCCACCAGCGCACTGAGCTGCGGCGCCAGCGCTCCGGCAGCCAACCCGGAGCCCGCGGAGCGCGGCCCTGGGATCTTCCCGATCCCTTGGAAAAATGCTGGTTGAACTGTGGGAAATGGCGAAAAATCATGCTTTAACCATGGTTTAAATGCCAATCTATGACTATTTCACTCACATCTTTGTGGTTTCTGGCAAAAACGGCGCAAAAAAAAAACATATGCTGTTCACCTAGATGTTCCATGGTTAAACAGCTGTTTAACCACCATGGTTTCAACATTTTCCACGGCGAACTCACCATGTTTTTCCCCCACCTGGCGTCCACAGCGCCGCCTGCACCGACGCAAGGAGCGCTCGCCGCGCATCACCCATGGGCAGGCGGATTTCGAAGACCTGGAAGGGCTGGGTACATACATATTAATGGTGATTATGTAATGGTTACTAATATCTATATGTATATTTAACCATATGTAATATGATTATATTATGGTTACAGCTACTAATATATTATTTAATGGAGATTATGTAATGGTTACTAATATCTATATGTATATCTAACCATATGTAATTATGGTTACAGTTACTAATATATTATTTAATGGTGATTATATAATGGTTACTAATATCTATATGTATATTTAACCAATGTAATATGATTATATTATGGTTACAGTTACTAATATATTAATGGTGATTATATAATGGCTACTAATATATGGTTACTATCAATTAATATATGAGTATTATGGTTACTAATAATGGATGAATAATTACTAATAATCCATGGTTACTAATATCTATATGTATAATATAATAATGGTTACTTTCATGGTTTAATGCTTACTATAATATAATGGTTAATTACTATAATTACTATATGTATCTAATCAATGGTTACTAATATATGTATATGTTAATTAATCTGTTACCAATTAATATGTGGTTGCTATTAATTGGATAATATGTATATATAATTAATTAATTAATCTAATTAATTAATTAATTAATTAACTAATTAATTAATTAATTAACTAATTTATTAATTTATTAATTAATTGGTTATGGATGCTTATTAATTTCTATTTGGGTATATAGTGGTTGCCATATGGTTACTAATTTAGTGGGTATTCATGGCTTATTCATGGATCATATTATTGGTAATGTAATATTTCACTGAATTAAGGCCACTATTCACTTCAAGAAAGGTGCCTCCCCCTGGCAATGCCCAAGGAGAGACCTGAATTATATAAGGCCAGCTATGGGGATGCTTCCCCGTGTATAAACCATGATTCCAGTGAGGTCAGAGGTCACTATAATTTATATAGCCAGAATACAATGGTATAACGTTACTAGAAAAGGAACGAATCTAGATGCACGTTCAGCTATACCAGGTAAGTTATGAAACAACAACGTCATTCCGAATTTTTGGGTGTCCGGTAGTAAGCTGGTTAAGGACCCCACTAACTAATTAGTTCATAATATCATATATATATATGGGTATATCTGAAAATAGGGCATACCCCCAATTATAGCGTATTTCATAGGGATAATGATCACCAACCATTCGGTTTAGGGCTACGCTAACAACCCCTGACTCCCCCTGGACCCAAACGAACTCACCCTGGGGTCAGGCCTGCTGCGGCCGCTTGCGCGTCTTCGCCGCAGCATGCAGGGCACGGAAGAGGCGCAGCGCTGGAAAGGTCTCGACGGTCTCGACGGTGGGATGGGTCCGGAGGATGACCCATAGGTGATTGGATTAATATACCTAACATATCAATGATAGTAATGATACTAATACCATAATCTACCCATGGGTTTGCAAATTGATATAGAATTATCGAAGGAAGTTTAGAAGTCAAACTTCCGACAATATGGAGAGATGAAAAGCAGAGCAGGGAAGAGGCATAGAGAAGAGAAAGATTAGAAGAGAAAGAGTAAGAAGACAGAAGATACAGATGCGCGAAAAGGTAGGAAAGTCGCGAAACACTGTGTTTTTCCAATGATTTTTGGCTCCGGAGGGTCGAAAAGTAGGCTCGCTAAAGCGGCGGGTGCGGAGCCAGCTGGCCAGAGGAGAGATGAAAAATTGCACGCCGTTGTGGCGCGAAGCACATTTCCAAGTGAAAATGTACAAAACATACCATTCTCGGACCACTTTTGGAAGTTGCGATGTCGAAAAAGTGCACGCCGTTGTGGCGCGAAGCACATTTCCAAGTCAAAATGCACAAAACACACCAGGTTCGGACCACTTTTGGAAGTTATGATGTCGAAAAAGTGCACGCCGTTGTGGCGCGAAGCACATTTCCAAGTCAAAATGTACAAAACACCTCAGCGTCGGACCACTTTTGGAAGTTGAGATGTCGAAAAAGTGCACGCCGTTGTGGCGCGAAGCACATTTCAAAGTCAAAATGTTAAAAACACCAGGGGTTCGGACCACTTTTGGAAGTTGCGATGTCCGAAAAAGTGCACGCCGTTGTGGCGCGAAGCACATTTCCAAGTCAAAATGTACAAAACACACCATTCTCGGACCACTTTTGGAAGTTGAGATGTCGAAAAAGTGCACGCCGTTGTGGCGCGAAGCACGTTTCCAAGTCAAAATGTACAAAACACACCATTCTCGGACCACTTTTGGAAGTTGAGATGTCGAAAAAGTGCACGCCGTTGTGGCGCGAAGCACATTTCCAAGTCAAACTGTACAAAACACACCATTCTCGGACCACTTTTGGAAGTTGAGATGTCGAAAAAGTGCACGCCGTTGTGGCGCGAAGCACATTTCGAAGTGAAAATGTACAAAACACACCATTCTCGGACCACTTTTGGAAGTTGAGATGTCTAAAAAGTGCACGCCGTTGTGGCGCGAAGCACATTTCCAAGTCAAAATGTTAAAAACACTAGGGGTTCGG